GCCGTGGCTTCACCCTTTAACCTCCGCGGAGGCACACCGGCAACCACCTCAAGCGGTGTGCGATGACCAAGCTCTGAATAAGTGGCGTCACCCACGCCGTCAATAATAAAAAGCACGATGGGTTTAGGACGGAGGGGCACCCCGCACACATCATCAAACGGCCATCTGGTATGTCTTTGAAGGCCGTCTCGTAATTCCGCTGCGTAACGCAAGTGGGCGGGAAAGCCGGCAAAACGCGAGCCGTACAGACGCAGGCACTCCATCGCTGAAAAACGCTGCATGAGACATGTGCTGTTCGCCGCACCGGGGCAGTTCCAGTCAGGCGGGTAGTTCTTCGTCCGAAAGTACACAAGCGCCCTCACCGCCTCCCCCTTGACCACATGAAGTGTCCTCTCCACCACCTGCTCGTTGTCCAGGGGGAGAACATCGATCTCGCCGACGGTGTACACGCCCTCCTCGACATCCTCAATGACGTCAAGGCAGCTCTTCAATGTTGGTGTCACCAGAAACAACTCCCCCACTACAAACTGAGGCGTCACACCGCCAGCATCATTGTTCCGCACATTGCAGTTGCTATCATCGCCAACATCTCCCGCAGCGGGTTGGTTGAGTAGGCAGGGCGAGCACCCGTCGGAACCAGGCAAAAGTTTCACAAACAGCGGATACCGTTTCACAGTGCGTGCTGTCGCCACAAACGTGGCGTGTTTTGGGTCCGCCATCCACCACGCGTAATTGTTCTCTCCGCGTTGAAGAGTGCCGTACACAAATAGAAGCACAAACGGCCCCATTGCCTCGCCCCCGAAACACATCCCACAATCAGCAACGCCTCCTCAAAAAAAGAAAAAAAAAGAAAAAAAACTAAGACACAAAAAGAAACAATAAAAAAAAAAAAAGAGAATTACACTTGTACCCGTAACGAAGCCAACCGCACATGACCGCAGAAAAAGAGAAAAAAAAAGAGAGGCGCATCACACACACACACAAATAAATAAATCGATAAATAAAATGGAATTCTCATTCCACCACTCTACTCCAATGTCAATATCCCACCCAAATATGCAGGGCACTTCAATTCGCATTCCACCAAAATCGCAGTTGTGATGTCCCCCACAGTTACGCAAAAGGCCGTTTCTCACCCTCGCACTTACTCGCAGCTTACCAAAAACATATCAACAGCCCTCCCCCTCACGTCGACCCGCCACGGCTGCCTCGCGTCCAAGGAATGCGCACCATGTGTGTGTGTGTGTGTGTCTTCCTCAACGAGGGAAGTAATGCCACTGCCCCATCCACCCACGTGTGTCAGTGGCCACGGCGTCCACGCAAAGCCCACAAGCGCCCCACCTCTCCCGACACACTCATGCCGTCCGACGCCCGTCCCAAACTACCGCCGTGGCGCGATCACACCAAAAAAGATCAGCCAGCAACGCAAGCCCAACAAAAAAAAAAGTCTAAAGATGGGTCGTGACCGACGAAGTACAATGTCACTCCCAGCTGCGTGAGAGGGTTGCCGCGGTCATCACGTGGCCTGCCACCAGCTCCCAACTATAAAGACAGCCGCACCTCCATTTGCGCTCTTACATTCCTTTACGGAGCAAAAAGCAGACTGTATCATATCGAGTAAAGCAAAATCACTCAAAAAAAAAGCCAAGTTAAAAGCACGCACAGCACAGTTGAATAAATCACACAGGCACACACACACACATATACATAGTGGAAAAAGGAACAAACACAAGAACAGCAAACATATACAAATAAAAAAAAAGAACATACACCCAAAGCAGAAGGCATAATTATGAAACGAACGAAAAAAACAAAGATACATCAGCAATAAACACATCCGAATATAAATATAATAATAATAATAATAATAATAATAATAATAATAAACGCATTCCAAAAAAAAAAAAGCAAAGACAAAAAAACATAACAAAGATAAAGCCATAAACGCAATAAAATCCCAAAGACATAAATCCCATGGCATAAACCATATACATAAAAAAAGCAAACGGAGAAAAAATGAAGAAATATACATCTTAATACGGCCAACCACAAACAAACTATCTGAACAAAACACAAAACACAATTCAAACATAAACCTGTTCCCATAATTCTGCCGCCACGCGACGACGCTGTTCAAATAACCTCCTCATCACTTTTTCCTTGCGCGCCTTCGACTCCTCACGCTGCTGCTTGGCAAGCTCGACGCGCCGGCGCTCCTCCGCCTCGCGCGCCTCCTGCTGGGCCTTCAGTTCCTGCTCCAGCTGCCGCTTCGCCTCCTCGGCCTCCTTCGCCCTCCGCTCACGCTCCTGTTCCTGCCACCTGGCGCCTTCCTCCTTTCCTGTCCGCACCTTCTCGGCGAGCGCCTTCTTCTCGCCCTCCTCGGCGCTGCGGGCCTCGGCCAGCAGCCTCTCGGTCTCGGCCTGCAGCTCCTCCTTCTTCTTTCTCCTCTCCTCGGCCTGCTTCCGCTGCAGTTCCTCCTTGCGCGCCCTCGACTCCTCACGCTGCTGCTTGGCAAGCTCGGCGCGCCGGCGCTCCTCCGCCTCGCGCGCCTCCTGCTGGGCCTTCAGTTCCTGCTCCAGCTGCCGCTTCGCCTCCTCGGCCTCCTTCGCCCTCCGCTCACGCTCCTGTTCCTGCCACCTGGCGCCTTCCTCCTTTCCTGTCCGCACCTTCTCGGCGAGCGCCTTCTTCTCGCCCTCCTCGGCGCTGCGGGCCTCGGCCAGCAGCCTCTCGGTCTCGGCCTGCAGCTCCTCCTTCTTCTTTCTCCTCTCCTCGGCCTGCTTCCGCTGCAGTTCCTCCTTGCGCGCCTTCGACTCCTCACGCTGCTGCTTGGCAAGCTCGACGCGCCGGCGCTCCTCCGCCTCGCGCGCCTCCTGCTGGGCCTTCAGTTCCTGCTCCAGCTGCCGCTTCGCCTCCTCGGCCTCCTTCGCCCTCCGCTCACGCTCCTGTTCCTGCCACCTGGCGCCTTCCTCCTTTCCTGTCCGCACCTTCTCGGCGAGCGCCTTCTTCTCGCCCTCCTCGGCGCTGCGGGCCTCGGCCAGCAGCCTCTCGGTCTCGGCCTGCAGCTCCTCCTTCTTCTTTCTCCTCTCCTCGGCCTGCTTCCGCTGCAGTTCCTCCTTGCGCGCCCTCGACTCCTCACGCTGCTGCTTGGCAAGCTCGACGCGCCGGCGCTCCTCCGCCTCGCGCGCCTCCTGCTGGGCCTTCAGTTCCTGCTCCAGCTGCCGCTTCGCCTCCTCGGCCTCCTTCGCCCTCCGCTCACGCTCCTGTTCCTGCCACCTGGCGCCTTCCTCCTTTCCTGTCCGCACCTTCTCGGCGAGCGCCTTCTTCTCGCCCTCCTCGGCGCTGCGGGCCTCGGCCAGCAGCCTCTCGGTCTCGGCCTGCAGCTCCTCCTTCTTCTTTCTCCTCTCCTCGGCCTGCTTCCGCTGCAGTTCCTCCTTGCGCGCCTTCGACTCCTCACGCTGCTGCTTGGCAAGCTCGACGCGCCGGCGCTCCTCCGCCTCGCGCGCCTCCTGCTGGGCCTTCAGTTCCTGCTCCAGCTGCCGCTTCGCCTCCTCGGCCTCCTTCGCCCTCCGCTCACGCTCCTGTTCCTGCCACCTGGCGCCTTCCTCCTTTCCTGTCCGCACCTTCTCGGCGAGCGCCTTCTTCTCGCCCTCCTCGGCGCTGCGGGCCTCGGCCAGCAGCCTCTCGGTCTCGGCCTGCAGCTCCTCCTTCTTCTTTCTCCTCTCCTCGGCCTGCTTCCGCTGCAGTTCCTCCTTGCGCGCCTTCGACTCCTCACGCTGCTGCTTGGCAAGCTCGACGCGCCGGCGCTCCTCCGCCTCGCGCGCCTCCTGCTGGGCCTTCAGTTCCTGCTCCAGCTGCCGCTTCGCCTCCTCGGCCTCCTTCGCCCTCCGCTCACGCTCCTGTTCCTGCCACTTGACCGCCAGTGTTTTTTGACCTCGTATTTGTTTTACCATTTGTTGTACTCGTTCGAGATGAATGCTGTGTTCTTTATCAAGTTTGTGCTGCATTGCTCGCCTTCTTCTTCTTGCTGGTGTAATTGATGGTGATTCCGGGGTCGGATATACTGTGTTTTGATTTTGTTTTACATGGTTTCCGTTGAAATGGCGACTTGCGTAGGATAAGCTTGATGGATTCTCCACTATAAGTTTTAACATACTGCTTGTAAGGGTGTGTTTCGACTATATATTTTTTGGTGATGTGACTTTGCTTAAATGCAAAAAGAAAAAGCACGTAAAATAAAAAACTGAGGTTTCATAGCGGTTAGTGGCTCAGTGCAATTATAATGGTAAATTAGAAAAGAGCAAACAGAAATGTTGTGCGGTTGGCCGCTCTCCCAGCTGCCTGCGGCACGGGCTGTCAACGTCAACGAAGCTTGCTGAATCCAATGTTTGCCGCGTTCTCACGGAAGCACTGGCGGCATACGTTGAGCTCGTACTTCCGAATAACCGCCTTCTGGTTCGAGCAGATCACGCAGTGGCGAGAGCCCTTGCCCATGCCTATCTTCTGCCGAGAACGCCATTGTTCGAGGTGGCCCATCGTTGTCTTGAGTGTATTGGGGAGTTAAGAGAGTAACTCTGGCACTGCGCAGCAAATGAAAAAACAACCAAAAAAGAAGACGCAAACAAAATCACAGAAGAAAAACCCACAAGGTGCAACCAACAATCCTATCCTGCAGCCAAAGAATACAGTAAAGGACAAGCACGCCCCCCCGAATAGGGCCTGTTCCCCTACTCCTACAAGGGGATGTACTGCAAAGAAATCACAGTTTGGCTCGGTGTGCCCAACACACACACACACACACACAAACAAACACACACCGCTTCAGAAAAGATTCATCCACCACCCAAACGGCAACAAATAAACTAATGTAAAATGGGCTTTTACCGCCACCGGACTTGCTGTGAACTGACAAAGTGGTGGCGCTATTTGGGGCCCCGCAACCGCCGGACCCCGCCGCGTGGAGTGTGGCAGCAGCAGCAGCAGTAGGGGGCGGGTGGGATAGAAAAAGAAAAAGCTTCGCTCGCTGCCACCCAACGCGGTATCTTTGGAAAGAAAAAACAGTTCATTGACAACAAAAAAAAGGCAGTTGAGCCGGAAGCGCCATGATCTTTCCCAGCCCCATCGGGTCGCACGCTCGTTGCAGGAGCTCCTAATAAAATGAAGATGACGCCATCGTCACCACCCGCTTTCCACGAGTCAACCCCTCACGCCACCAAGACCGCAACGCGTTTGTTGCGGGTCTTTGCGTGTGCGTTTCCGCCGCCCCTTCTTGCTGCGGCATTGTGCACCCGACTCACCACCTTCTTTCGGCTGCTCTTCCACCGACTGTGCCCAAGGACACAAAGCCATTCGTCAATCCCACACCGCCCCTCATTTTCTTGGCGTTTTCTTTAGTTTTCACCTTCCACCGGGCAATATCCGTAGGTCTCTTGTCCCCTCCCACTCCAAATGCCACCGTCACGCGCCACTGGCAGCTAACGGCTGTCCTCAAGAAGTCCCAGCAACATGACACGGTACCCCACGAGCGAGACGGTGCTCTCTGCGGCGCCCGTCACAGGGTTATAGGCCTCTTGCATCATCGGGGACCCACCGCTAATCTCCAACATACACAACCGCAGCCGCTTGAATAGCTCCCCTGCCGGGTCCCCGAGAATGCCAATGTATTTCGTTCTCAGAGCGTGCAACATCAGGACGTTCGCTGAGAGCCACACGTGACCCATCCAGCGGTTCTCGTGGCGCAGACCCGCATCACGTGCCGCGCGCACTGAGTCGTACGAAACAGACATCAGGCCGTAGCGGGTCATCAGCTCCGTCTTGGCAAGTTCAACGATCGTCAGTGCACGCCCCTTGTTGTCGATGATCCCAAGAAGAAAGGGGTAGAGGTTGACATACCCTATGTACGGCGAGAAAGAGTCACCAGGGCAGCCAGCACGGTCGGCATAGCGCTGATTTGCAGCATCCCAGTGCACCGTGTCCAACCAAACCGTCCAAAGCCGCTTGGGAACAGTCTCAGCGGCTCCCAAATGCAGCTCAACATCGCTGATGATCGAGCTCAGCAGTGCAACCCATGAAAAAAGATCCACATGCGCCTCCATTCTGTGGTAGCCGGGGCAAACAGGTCGGGG